AAGCTTTTATTGACATTCGTTTAAGATGATCTATATAACTCACTCATAAGAAATTCATCCTTCTCAAAGTCATGCCAATAAAATGTTTATGCTACACCATCATGTATTCTCTCTATATACCTCACTATGCATACACACACACACACTCTTCATATATCTTCAATTACAATAAAACTAATTAGCCAATAAATCACAGTTGAGGCTGCACCTCATTTGTTCAGATATCTAAGTTCAATTTACATACTAATGGTTGCGTATTTGCCTTTAATAGATGCACTATTAGAAAGTAAACATAATAAATGAATAACCATTTAAGCACGGAGTTACCTAATCTTGATGAAAAATATCTGAAAATGTAGCAGCCAGTGAATCTATTTACTTTTTTATTGGGAAATAAAGCTAATCACAGACTAAGAAGATAAATATAAATTATACGGGATAGCATGCTAATGATAGATCAGCCAGATCCACCCATCACAGGGAATGTAATAACATCAAATTGGTGGAAATAGTTGACTTATACAATAGATGCTCTCTTCCTGAAGCATGGAAGAAAGGGTACAGGCTAAGCTGATTTAATTTGCAGAAGTTTCCCCTTGGATCTGCTGCTGTATCTTATTTTTGACATCTCCTAAAGCTGCAGAAAAAGTTTCCTCTCTCACAGCAACAGGCAGGTTCCTGCACGGGAAGGATGTACAGGGATGATGCCTGTCTCAGTCAAGTGAAGAATGAGGTTAGAAAGTGGCACTGTGTAACTTTGTGAACAAGAGGTCTCACACACGTAGTAAGTGGTGCAAACGGTATTACTCGTTCTCATCATCATGACAGAGACTTGATTTCCACAACACACTCAGGAAAGGGAAACAGGAACATGTGAGGCCCAGTCTTTGCTAACTACTGCCCAGGACTGAGAGGAGCCTGCCTTGATTTCCTTACTTGTACAATAAACCACTTCCTCCTACGCAACCACTTATTTGGGAAGAGATCTCCTTTTCCTTATCTTCTGTTGACCTTGACTGTTTATTTCTCAAACCAGAGAGTCTCCTAACATTAAGGCTACAGACCCTGTTTTGGCTATAGCTGTGTCACTTTTATCTGCTCTTCAATTCTCTCTGTCTTCTTCTTGTCCCATTGCCAAAGGTTACCAGCCTTTCAGTGCTCCCAGCAGAGCTGCTGTTGGAGCTCTGTCTGTCCTGCCTTAATCAAAATGATCCTTTGTCAAGTGCTGAAGCAAACACAGGTCATTGTGAAGTGACTAGGTTTTGAGAGACCGCAAATGCCAGCAGATTTAAGGAAGGACCAGCCCCTGGAGATGATGGAAGGGAGTGGTAAAACAAGGGTACAGTTAAGGTTACTGCACATACTGTAGAACCTTATGGATACTGTGAAAAGGAGGAGAAAGCAATTCCTGTAATTTTATACTAGAAAGTCTAGCTAGGATTCAAAACCAGACTCCCTCTGTGCCTTAGGGAGCATAAACATGCTGCTGCTTCACCTCAGCCAGGGCCACAAAGCTCATCTCCAATCGAAATAAATAATTATTTAAAACAAGAGCAGCAGCAGCTGCCGCCACTACCGCCACCAGCAAGCGAAAGTGGCTTTGCGAGGACAGAAGGCGCCAGCAGTTGATCGACACGACCTGCCTCCTGCTCGCTGCGGCAGGGAGACGATGGAGATCCCAGGAACCGTCCTGCCTGGAGAGCCCACTCCTCTCAATCAACACCCCCAGGCACGCCGCGCTTCGTCTGAACTGCGAGTGCGCCTTCCTTCCCTAAATGCCATTTCATTTCTGCAGCTTTTCTTCTGAGCTGTCAGCCCATGGACATATCTCTTTTGCAAGAACGCTGGCTCAGCGTGAACCAGAAAACAACTGCATGCAGCATGCTCAGAGCTCCGGTGAACAGAGACATACCACAGTGTGCTAGATCACATCCAGGCCATGTATTTTACAGCTCATGCCTTGCAGGTGCTTAGTCTTTCTTACCCTGCCTATCCTCAGTCATCCTGATTTCATAGCCTGAATAGAGGTCCTAAACACAAGTGAAGGCAAGTAATCAGCTTCTGATCTCCCAGGTTGCTATGATTTATGCGAAATTATAGCTTGAGTCATTTACCTAATCCAGCCCAGCACAATAATCTAATTTGTGGGGAGAAGCACTCCCACACTGCAGCGCTCACTGCCCACAACGGTACCAGCCTCATCAGCTTCTCCCAGCAGCTTTTTGACCTACTAAATCCTGTACACATATTTGCAGAACAGTGATGAGACCAAAAAAAAAAAAGGTCTGACACATGCAGACTCTTAAAAGGCACAAAGGCACAAAACATGTACTTTAAGTCCTAAGGATAAGCTCAAATCAGATTCCGTCTTTGAACAATAGCATATTTAACTCAGCTATTATTAAAGGTTACTGCTTCTCAGTGCAGTGTTCATCTATTTGAAGAACACTTTAATGAACAGAAAGAAAAACATAAATGTTGGTGCTTAATATCCAGATCACAAGAAGTTTGGTGGGAATGTCTAAAGGTTGAGAGGTTTCTCTCCGGTAAGCAGGCAAAGAAGGGACACTTATGCAAGCCCTGTGAGCTGCAGGGGTAGGTCTGTTTAACGAAAAGCTCTCAAAACATCTGGTTTGCCTTGGTTCACTTCAACAGGAAAATACTTCCAAGCAGAAAATCTGTCACTTTTCTAATATCCATCAATGTTTGTTACAGAATCAACACTGGAAGACAGTTATGAGACAGGGCTAAAAAGGTTTTTATTTCAATATATGGTATGAATAAACCATGTGATTCTTAATTATGACTCTTTAGAGAGTAGCCAGGTATAGGAGGTCTGCTAACTTGGTTTTGCAGAAACCCGAAAAAAACAAGGAGAAGCAAAACTGGCTTATTAACTCCTATCACTCAAGATCTAATGAGTGCTGAAGACTACTTCATAATACTCTTACTTGAAGAGTCATTAACCCTATTTAAAAGTAATGTCAGTACATATGGTCAGAGTTCAAAAGCTCATTGTAAGATGGCAGCTGAAAGGTGGATAGAAGCTTCCTTTGAAACAACAAAACAACAACATTTGCCTGTAGCCCTTTATATTCATTGACAGAGTTGGAACATGTAAACTAAGAGTAAACTGATGATGGGACACCAGAGATGTTAAATCAAAACTAACCAACCAACCAACCAAGCAAAGTGGTCATAAAATGGGCTTGATACCAGAGCAAAGAATGTTTTTAAAGCATTGACCAGACTGCATCTTCAGAATGGAGAAAGAAAGGACTTGAAATAATCGTTCATCTATTTTTCCATCTCTGCTGCTCCTCTCCCACCTCTCTTATTCTCACAACCTCCCTACCTTTCACTGAGTGGGCTATGATAAACTGCCAATGTACTAAGATGGTATAGCAATAGTTAATGGCCTCCTAATAAAACTCCAGTCTTTCTCTCCGATCCTCAAGTGGCAGCTGACAGTTCCTTTTCCTTGAAGGCCCCCACCTACTATTATCATTCCTCTTGATCCATGTTATCACTTAAGATGCATTTTCAGCTAACAAACCTCAAATTCATCATTAGCGCTAAAATGTTATTGGAAGAGTTGCTTGGGAAACTTCTCCTCTTGCACACCAAGCTGAACCAAGGCCACCTGAAAACAGTGCTGCCTAGCATGGAGAAAAGCTTCAAGGCCTATCAAGACATTGTGACCATTCTCCTATTCATGGCACAGGTACCCAGCAAAACAGGACAAAGCTCCTTGTGAACTCTGTTCAACTGACACCCTAGCACCAGCATCAACTAGAAAAAGAAAAGAGAAAACAAACAAAAAAATTGTTCACATCCCGCTTCCTAGAAACTCTGCCCTTTACTTTTAACGTGGCTACACTAACCCATGCCTCTGACACCTTCAGATCACTTACCTATGGCCTGACTTTCTGCAGCTGACCATGACAGTAACAACACAACCTACAGAAGGCAGCCACCCCATCCTCTGGGTCGCCCTCAATATCAGACCGTATCATTCCGACAATCTGGGCTCTCCCCCAAATAGCCAATCTACTGTTAATACCATTTTGAGGCTTGGGTCCGCAGTTCTAGATCAAGCAAGAGTTCTTATCTTATTTTCATCAAAGATCAGACTGCAAGCCATAAATCTCCACTCCTCAGGACCAGTGCCAACAAGAAAGATCAGGACTGAAGTGAAGAGAACATGAGCATCCCTCCTTGTCAAGGACAACTTTCTGTAAGGGAGCAGGGAAAATTATGGACAGATAATGAAAATGTGGCAAAATGCAGCCTTCTTGCCGTAAGTGATAGCTGCAGCCTGACTATGCCAATGCCAGCATCACAAAAAAACAAAGGAGAAAAAAAAGTCCAAATGGAGTTTTGGCTATCAGAGAAGATGTGCCAGAGTTTCCATGAATCCCAAAACAGACGCTGCGGCTGGTTTGTGTGGCTACTGGTTCGACGTGAAGATTGCTCAAATATAATCTGAGCATTATCACTGTTCATTTTCCCTTTCACACTTTCAATTCTTAAAAAGCTTAAATAGGCTGTTCACAAGCCAAGAAAGAACAAGGATACAAAGCAGTAGCAATAAGCATTTTAACACTTCAGTATTTCAGGCTCCATCAGACTTTCCCTA